TTTTCTTTGCTACATAATCCCATTGATCTTGCTTCATATATTTGATGTCTTCAGTTTGTATCTATGATGTAGAAAGTAGTGAAAGTAAAGAAAAACCATTACATGAAAAGTGTGTGTCCAGATTTTGACTGGTAGAGTATTTCTTACTCAGAAGTAAATTAGTTTGTTTTATTTTTTTCTAATCTAAGCCACATTCTTGTTTTTTTGCTGCTAGGCCAAGAAAAAATTGTTCTCACTCGAAGAAGCAACCACAGGTTTGTACTATTACTGCAAAAACACAGATTTTTATCAAACGTGAGTGTTCTTAACAGCATATAAGCCCATTTTCCCACTAGCTGTTACAAGAGCTTCTGTTATCTCACATTAAATATTAAAGCATTTAAAACTAATGGCCTCAATTGAGGCAGGCAGGCACTGCAGACATTTATAACCCCCGCCCCCTTTGTGCTCCAGTATAGAAGAAATAGAGCAGAACTGGAAAAGCCCAACGAACTGAAGTTAAAACAATTTTATTTTTGTATCCTTATATCAGAAAACTGAAATTTGCCTCAAGGAGCTTCCAATCTGCACAGAAAACAACATTGTTTCTCCTTAGACCCTCAACTTAGAAACAGCTACCATTAAGATCCAAAATGAAAAACAAGAATATTAATGGGTGAAGGCATACAGCCGCGAGGCAGTGATTCTAGTTTCTCTCTGAGCATAATGATTGTCACTAAAATCTTTTCAGGCATTCTATTAATAATGTGCACATATTTATATTCATAAAACTCTGAATTTAAAATATACATGTGTAAGACAAACATGCACAGGCAAGGCAAGCTTCTTTCCCGCTTGTTTTCATGGATAAAATCCTCTTTTTTAGAGTCGGAGAAAGAAGAAGATGACGAGGAAGACCAGGATTCATCAAGTGATGAACCCACTACAGGTGCTGGTTTCTACAGTGTAATATTTATGATGGAAGCTCTTTTAGTTATGCATGGTTGTGTTACGTATTATCTTCATAACGTGTCTGTTTTAGATGACGAAGAGGCAGAAGAGCAGACGGTGCAGCAGCCAGAGGCTGGTCTTTCCAACACCAAAGTGTTCAAAGTTACATGTGGTGGTTTAGCTGGGACGTTACACAAAAAACGTTTTGCATCAGGTATCTTAAAAAAAAGAAAGTACTGTGATACAGATACAGTCATTTGAAAAAGTTTAAACAGTTCTTTAAAAAAACAAAGTACACTCTGATTACTTCCATTGGAATTAAGAGGATAAGTAGCATCCAGGTGCTGCTAATTGCTACTTTGAATTGAATTAAATGGAAAGATTTTAGTTAAGCTGAGGGAACTTTCTTCTCAAAATGTTTTTCCCCCACCAGGGACACTTGGCAAGAGTATTCGTACTGAGACAAGCTGGATGACCCCAGTGGACTTTTGTAAGGAATCTGGTCCGACAAATATTTCCTGGAAGAAAGACATCAGATGGGATGGAAAACCTCTGAGTGCTCTCATGGAGGTGTGTTTACACTGCAGGTTCCTAGTTCACCGCAACTTATCTCTACTCCTTTGGGTATTTTTGTGAGGTACTCTGTGAGAGTGAGGGAGGAAAATAACACTCCGAGATTACAATCTTTACATTTTCACTCGTATTTATTTGCGGTCATCAATCCTCAAGCAGCTAATATGGTAAAAAAAAAAAAAATATCCAAATGCAGAAAGCTAACATGTGGTGACATTTTGATGAACAACCACAGTTAGCCCTAAGCACACACCAAATGCACATCAACGTTTCAGCACCGTACAGCAGAACACCAGCTATAGAGAATGAACAAATAATAAAGAATATAAAGACAATTAGGGGCTATTTCAGGAAAAATGAATTGGGTCAGTGCCAGTTTGGTTTTGTAGGATCTTTTTGAATTATAATTTTGAAGTTGCAACTCGTGCCCAAAAAATTACAGGACTTAACAATTTAGACTTTTGCATGAAACTGTGTCTCACCTGTAAACCCAAGAGCAACTTTAGTCTGCAGGCAATATCAGCGTTACAAGCTTTGTTAAACCAAAAGTGAGAACTTACGATTGAAAAATGAATACATTGTTACTTTGTCTTTTTCAGGCAGAGATCTTGAAGATCCATTCCCTTCTGTGTGCTTGCCCTCTGTGTAATCCAGATCCTGAAGACCTGGTAAGTTTCAGACAAGTGGCATTTCCTCATGCTACACTGGTTTGAAAAATACTTTCTTGCACAATGCTGTTTTTTCTAAATAGTACAAAATCTGTCTCTCTAAATCTGTGGTATAATTCCACAAACAAGAAACTTTTTTCCTCTCTCAGTTATCTTGTTCTGGTGCAGAAATATGCGATTCCAACCCCTTTTAGAGTTTAGTTGTATTTGTAGCCTAACATCACATACAGGAGTGGGACTCCTTCTCTTTCTGACAGCAACTTAATGGATATTCTCTGCCCTCGGTCACTTTACTGTACATTCAGTGGGTCAGACCAGACATTTACTTGTTGCTTTTAACAGAGCACAACTTTGTAAAAAAAAATGCTTGCAAATGGATTAAAGTCTAAAAATTAAGACCTTTCTACATTTCCGCACCAACGCTGACCAGAGGAGCACGCGGACATCTCCAAAATACCTTTGGGTTTTTCATTATTCACTCTGCTGTGCAATTTCACATCCATCAGAGACTGAAGAGCCTTAAAAATGGACTTTACGTGGCAAAGCCTTTAACGCATTAAACAAAAAATCTGTGACAGGTCAGATTAATGAGTCTGACCAATAATGGATTCAACCTAATCCTGGTTTTAAAAAAAATTAAAAAGAACCGAAACCTGAAGCAACCCAATGCAAGAAGCCCCTCCCCCGAAGTTTTTTATATACCTACACATCAATCCATGAGTGCTTCCAAAGAAAGAGAGCTCATTTACCAACAAGGCACAGCAGTAGTCGATTAAATTCTACAGGATTAATAAAAAAGTAAAAGACAGTGAGTCTCATCTTCACTTCAGATAGATCTGCAGTTACACTGTCACTACGCAGATGAAAAATAATTTGTTATGAAGCCATCACTCTCCATTACAATACTTAAGATATTTCATTTAGCTATTAGTAAAAGTCTGATCTCACCCACTGGCTGAAATCTACTAAAGTGTTTATGATTATGCATTACTGTAACCACACGTGAGATGTGGCCTCTCAAAAGTAACAGTAATAACATACCTATTGTCAATATGTGCTGTGGCTGTGCTGTGTTCTTAATTTATAGATGGCAGTTATAGTTACCGTTTGATGAACTCAGCAATTTTACATCTCCTGGGTCTGAAAGGCGCTTTGGAGCAGTTTTGTGTACAAACAGATTTTCTGTGATTTATTGTCTGTGTTGCCAGGAGAATGAGAAAAATGATGACAACTGTTGCATCTGTAAAAACGAAGAAGAAGACCAAGAGCTGGTAGTGTGCGAGGAATGCCCACGATCCTTCCACCAGAAATGCCACCTGCCACATGTGGACGACATCATTCTGAAGTGAGCCTTACTGGGAGAGCAGCCATTTAAAATATATTTTTTAAATCAGCTGTTTCTCTTTTGTCCTTTTGTATGTTTTGCTTGAGTCTCTTATATTTTAAACCTGCATGAATTTGTCGTATCAACACAGAATGCATTGGCAGGAAAGAAACCTAATCAGCTTTAAGAAATGCTCCCATTATACAGTCCTGCAACTGAACTGAACTCAGCATTTTAAAGCAGCACTAATGAATATCCCTACAGTTCTGTGCAAAAGTCTCGAGCCACTTCTCATTTCTGTATGATTTGCTTTCAATGAACCAGCCTTTCTTGTAATATTTTAAATTGGCCTGGAGCAACAGTTTTCCAGGTTTACTGAAGAATCCACACTAAACAAAGGGAAAATGGGAGAAAAGGCTGAGGTATGCCAGTTTACACAAGAACTGGATTGAAATTTAGTGGCAAATGGTCTTATATAATAATGTCATTGATATTTTTATTTTTGAGGAAGATGAGAGGGTCCAACACTGAACATCTACAGCTAAATGTAAAACATGGTGGAAGCTCTGGGGATGCAGTTCATCCAGTGGTGCTGGGAATCTTGTGAAAATGAGGAATTATAAACACAAAAAAGTACGGTCAGATGGAATCTGGAAAGCATCTCATCAGGAGCAGCATCATTTTTC